CCGGGCATCACGTGCAATGTATGTACAAATTTGTTACAGATAGCCGCCTTCATCAGATTTGCTCGCAATGCTCTCCGCAATGGTTCGCCATTCGGCGGGGTCCTGCAGGAACAGCGGCCAATTGTGTTCTGGCCCAAGATGTGCAACCAACGCCTTGTGTATACATTTCGCCCATTCATGTCTCGGTCAGCCTCGCCTCCTTTGGTGCGCATCCACGACTGAACGAACGGTGTCAGGCTGAAAAGTGAGTCGTCGCAGAAAGTATGTGTTTGGAGCACGCCCAATCCTACCAAACAGTATGATATGTGTTGAAGAAGTTGCGCGCTGTACGGCATCTGCCCGACCTGTTCCAATACCTCGCTATTCGGAATTCGCGAAACAAAAGCCGGGGGTATGTGCAATATTATCCGTAAGCATCTGGCTTGAAATCCATCCAATCGTCTCCTCTCGTCCTTGTTAAGCCACGCCGTGTTGAGTGAGTACATGATCTTCGTCGTCACCAGCGCTTGAAAAAGAACGAATTTTCGCTGATTGGTCAACGCTGTGTGCTTCCAGGCCCGGTCATATTTGGAGAATTCGGCCCATGCTGCTCCGAGTCTCTTGTTTAGCCATTATAGTATAAAGTAGCACCCAAATATGTCATGCTCTGCTTCTCCAGGATAGATTGCCCAGCCGGCGTCCTCAGAGTCACGTGGTTGTTGATCTTGAGCATTTGGAATTTGTCCCAATGTAACTCCATCCCTACTTGAGCCCCCGCCAGTGCGATGTTGTCCAAAAGATGTTGTAAACTTCGTTGGCTTCTCCCGATGAGTAGCGTGTCGTCGGCGTATAACAGCACCGAAAGGTCTCCAGAAGCCACGGCTAATTTGTCATCCTCGCTCAGGCTGTTCACGGCGTCTCGCCAAACCACTGTCATAAGCATGACGGAAAGAAAAGGCGACAACGGACAGCCTTGTGATATTTCCGACATCTGTTTTCCTTCAGACGACATAATAGCCCCGTCGGACACGCAGAACTGCCTGGCCTCATAAATATGCCCAATCAGAGTAAGCATCTTCGCGGGTACCCCAAAACGGCGCAGCGCCGCCAACAGAGCGTCGACGTTTACATAATCAAATGTTTTTGTTTCCAGTCCAGGGCGACAACTGTAGTCCCACCATCTTTCCTAGCGTGTGCGAGTTCGATATGACGGCGCACTGCGTGAATGGCATCTGTTGTACCTCGCCCACGGCGGAAGCCGCATTGAGTTTGCGTCAGCCGGTCTTCTGCCCCAGCCTGTAGTAGACGATGCAGGAGAAGGCTGGCTAGGAGTTTGTATGCCACACATAGCAAGCTAATTGGCCGATAATTGTCACACATATGGATCGGGCCCTTGTTCTTGTAGATCGCGCTCACCGTAGCATGCCGCCATGCTTTGGGTACTCTATGTTCCGCCCATGTTGTAGTGCACAGATCTGTAACCCATTCTACACCACCAGGTGTCTGAGAGATTGCCTTCCAATACTCTTCGGGGATGTCGTCTGGTCCTGCGGCCTTCCCCCATTTGAGTTTTCGTACTGCTGTTCCCACTTCCTGCTGCGTGAAAGCCGACTCGTCGACGGGAAGGGGCGGTCCCAAAGCTTCGTTATCAACCAAACGTGCCAGTCGTACGTGACATTGAACTTGCTCTGAGTAGGTTGTCATGGTATCAGCTCGCTCATGGCTTGCAACAAATTGCCCCTGCAGGTTTGGGAGCCTGCCTTGCTTATGTTGCCGTGGTCTGCAGAATCTCCGGATATCGTCCCATCGCCCAGATGCAATATTTGAGTCAAGCCATTCCGTCTTATCGATATTGCATGATCTCCGTACCTTTTTCTGTAAGCGTCGCTCTTCTAAACGATCGTTGCTGGCTCGAGCTTCGCTTCTCAGCTGTATCAATGTCAACGTACGCTGTGATACCCATGGTCGTTTTTCGTCCTCCTGGCGGCGAGGGAGGACAGTGGCGGCGGCCAACGCTGCATGTGCGCCGTGATCCCAGACTCAGACGGCGTCCACGTTCCGGGCAGCCGCGTGACCTGCAAGTTCTTCCAAAAACGCTTGTGCGTACATTGATTGCACAGCTGGGTCTCGAATAATATCTCTGTCTCGAGGAGGTTTGCGTGGCAACGCATCGTCATGTCGAGAGTGTTGGATCTCCAATGACAACATGTAGTGGTCCGTGGCCAGAGCTGCTTCACAATGAGATCTGTGATTCCGTATTTGGGCCAAAGTAGATGCATCTCACATGACGTAATCCAAGATGTTGTATTTGTTCTCTGTGATAGGACCCAGAGGTTGGGCCCCCGCTTCCATGAAGGTAACAGTATCTTCCAGTGTCCGCTCAAAATATGTATTTGCCAATCTCATGTCGAGGCCGACGCAAAACTCTATGAGTAGATCCCGATCGGGAACTTCAACTTCATGCACAGCCCGCCTGCCCCAAGTGAACGGCCCTATAGTCGTCGATTCCCCAGCGTCCGCATGCCCGACTCGTGCATTTACGTCCCCCCATTATCAGTTTACCAGCAGTAGCCGCACATGCCCGGAACTCGGTGTCCAAAATCATCCAGAACATACGTCTCTCTGGCAACGGCTTCAAATTGCGGGGCGCGTACACGCAGAAGATGCCGAATACGCGATGTCCCAGCTTGATCTTTAATTGTATGATTCGTCCCGGAATTTGCTTGCAAGATCGCACGAAAGGCACGTGGCTCGGAGATATGATGAAATCAGCTCCAGCCCAAGATGTTGAATCTGTATCTTCCCCCGAAAGAATTATGCGGCAACCACTGATCTCATCTTCAAAATCCTCTGCTTTTGTCTTCCGTGTCTCCTGCATGCATAAGATATGTATGTTGTATGTGACCATGTACCTCGTGATTTCCACAATTTTCTTCGGCGTCAAACCACGTACATTCCCTCTCTCTGCTCTGGTGTTGTTCACTTTGGCCTCGACCGCAGTGAATATGTTGGTGAAGTAAAGCCAGCAATACACATACATGCATTGCCAGCACCATGATCTTGATAATGTTGCGCTCGCAGTTAGGCGGCACATACACCATCTCCATATCATACTTGACTGCAGCTTTCTCGGTCGGAGTTATCGTAGTCTTTACCAGGTGTGTAATGCTGTTCACAACTTGCGTCGGTTCAGTCACTATTTCCACAGATGTCTGAACATCAACATTCACAATAGGAATATCATAATCTTTACCAGGTGTGGCATAAATCACGAAGTAGTGTGTAATCATGGTCTTAGTAGTCCAGGTAGCGCATCTTAGTAGTCCAGAGTAGTGTTCGTACAGATTTGGCCCTGCGGGGTAGATGGTATCTTTGCCCAGTCTGCCCTCTGAAAATTCTCCTGCTGGGTGTAAGGTATCTTTGCCCTTCCTTCCCATGCTTCCCTTCGGGCAGGTGGTATCTTTGCCCTTCCCGTTCCATTGGCGATTCATCGATTGAGGTATTTCTGGCAAAGCGTCCCCAACTGGTAAAACTCTGGCCCTCCGCCCTTGCCACCGTCGCTTGCCTTTCCCAGCCCCTGTGCTCACACGAGCCCTGCTTTGTGAGAGACGCTCTCTGGCTTTTTGCTGCACCTCTGCACCCTCCAGTGCGGATTGGAGTTCTGCCCAGTTGTCCCAATCAGTGTCCAGCCAGTTGATCTTCAGGGTGTCTGCCTCCACCGTCGCGCGCATGATGGGCTTGCTGCCGGCTTTGATGATGCCCGCCTCCGTGTCCACGTTGAGATAGCGCTTTTCGAACCCCCATTGCGTGAGCACGTAACGTAGACCACGTAGACCCAAGAAGAGTGAAGCAATAACCCGCTCCTCGATCGTGGCATCTAGATTGCACCACACTCTGCTGCTACCCACCCTGGGCTTCAGGGACCTTGACGAAAGCTCTTGAAGGAGTGGTTGTGCTTTTTGCGCAGCCCCTGGGGAATCAGACTCAACGAAAACCAAGCCTTTGAAGTTCTCGTCCAGGGCGCCCTTCCTGTAGATCTTGTTGGGAGGTAGATCTGCATCTTCGAGATCCTTGCTGATCCATGCCTCTGCCTCCATTAAGGACTCATGAGGGAGACCCCCAAGCACTACGGTCGTAGTGCCCGTCGCACGTGATGTACATGTCAATGATCGCGGTGTGGTGTTTTCTTGAACTTGTTGTAGAGTTTCCCGGAGTTCTGCAATTTCTTGCCGCAACTCGCCTTGGTTGGCGGCGATTTCTTCCCGTGTCGCTTCGATGTCATCCTCCAAGTTTGTAGTCCTGATGTTGATCTCCTCCATTTCCGCTTCCATCGTCTTCTAAAAGGCGTGGTAGCCTGTGTAGTCTGTGCTTATGGACGTGGTGGCCTTCATGACAGGAAGTATGCATTGGCGAAAAATATTGTGCATGGTGGCCACAGTAGACAGTGCATTTGGATTCTCGATGTCTTCCTCCTTCGGCAATTCGTCAAACTCCGACTGGGACGTATTCGAATGAGACGCCGGTGCAGCCTCCCCCAAAGCGTGTTGAAGATCGGCCTGTTGACCAGCGACGCCTGCTGGAGCGGTGTCCATAGCGGCACTTGGGCTGCCCAAGCGCGGATGCTTGAGAGCGCTCTTCGGTGGCGGTTTGGCCAAGGCGTAAGCCTCGGGACGCTCAGGTCGTTTCGGTCCTCCACCAGTCGGTCGCACAGAGCCGCCACCTGAAGAACCTGCTGACATGGTGATGGGCTGGAAAAATTGCGAAGTGCAGAAAGGATTGTTGAAAAGACTCGTAGGAATGACTGTGTAATACTTGAGCAAACTTGAGCCAAAATTTGAGTTCCCCGTCCCACATCCGACGGGGAACTCAAATTTTGGGTAAATCAACTACTCTGTAGTCGATCCCCTATACTCCAAGACTGCCAAGCCGGCCCCCCGGGGAAAGCTCCGGGGTCCAGAGCCCGTCTCCACCAGGGCCCCTTCGCCCTCTCGTGCCACAGGACGTGCTGAGCGAGACCAGCGTCAGCATCGCCGGCGGCGAAGAGGCCCTACAGGGCTCGAACTAACGTTGTTTTGGCGATTTCGTGGGCCGTTTTCGTTTTGGCTTCGTTTCGCAGCAAAGGCAGAACGAGGACAGAGCGAAGGAAAACGAAAGCAAAGCGATAACGGCAAACACTGCTTAGCTCGAGCCCTGAGGCCTTGTTCTACGTCGGCATCATCTTCATCACGCTCATCACCTTGGTGCTCGCCGTTGTGCTGCGAGAGCCTCCTCGCGTGTGAGCGCAGCCCCAGGATGCTGAGCCTGTGACCCCCCCCCCTCCGGGCGGGGCGTGTTTTTGAGTTGACTGCCGCGGGCGCTTCCTCCCCTCCCTCCTTCCGTCTCGCCGTGCCTCGCGGCAGTGGCCGTGCGTCGAGCTGTGGCGCCGGGTCGGAGGACCGTCGGAGTAGCGCACGCACCTGTAGGCAAGTGCTGTGGGAGGCGGGGAGGATCAACCCCTGCTTTCTCATCTCCTCCCGCTTCTCCTGCTCATCCTCTCCCCCCTGTTTCCTGCTGTTCCTCCTCCTCCTCCTCCTCCTCCTCCTCCCAACTCTTGTCATCCTCCGCCTCCTCCACCGCCGCCGCCTCACTGAGGAGGCGGTGGCGGATGAGGCGGAGGAGGAGAGGATAACAGCCTCTCCTCCTCTTGAGAAGGAGGAGAGGATGGCATCCTTCCCTTCTGAACATGAGGCTGGGAAGGAGGTGAGGATGATATCCTCTCTCCCTTCCCAGACCCCCGACGTCATTTTTTTCATGGCGTCGACCCCCAGAGGTCCCGACCCATTCCCCAGGACCAGCTTTTCATCGTGAGACGTTTGTTGATGCTCCCGAGGCCTGGTGAGGGCACTGAGATGCCGAACAAAGCGAAAAATGGTCCGTCGTGATTTCATCATGACTCGAGGGGGGTCTTCAGGGGCAACTATGGGGGAGGGATGGGCACAAGGGGGGTGCATCGACCCCCAATCGCCCATTGATCGCCGATAGGTGCTCAATAGCCCCAACCCGCCCAGCAAAGTGCGGATTTGCTATCGGGCGCCCGTCGCCGATCTATCGGCGACATGTCGCCGATTCCAGGTCGATGTTTTCCCCCCTGTGCCAGTTCCCCCACTACATCTCGTTGCCCCTCAGTTCTGGGTTCTCAGCCCAGACATGCGACGTCCTGATTTTTTCTGTACGCGGTACCCGGAAATCCCGATCCTCTCCGCTGAACCGGCTTTTCATCCCGAGTCGTTTTTCGACGGTCCCGGGACCCGGCGAGGGCCTCCAGAGAGGCCCAAACAGATGACATGTGTTTGTCCTGCATTTTTTCCGACGCGAGCATGCCTGGGCTCAGGTCTGGGCTCTCAGCCCCACGTCTGCTGCTGCTCCCAGCCACGCGCGCTCGCGCGCCGAGCCCGGCGGCGCGCGCGGCGGGGGGTACTCGCTCGTGCGCCCGCTGCGCCCGCGGGGGCGCGCCTCGACCCTCGGCACTCGACCAGCCCGCCGACCGACCGACCGGCTCCCCAGAGATCCAGCGTACAGTCTTGAAAAAATCAAGACGGAGGTTTGGTTCGCCGATTTCGGCCTCTAGAGGCCCTCGCCGGGCCCAGGACCGTCAAAAAAACGACTCAGGATGAAACACCAGTCCTGAGGAATGGGTCCAGACTTCCAGGGACCGCGCATTGAAAAAATCACGATATCGGATCTCTGGGTCAGCGGCACCGTAACGGAGGAGGAGGAGGAGGAGGAGGAGTAGGAGGAGGAACTCACTCACGGGCACTTCTTGGACATTTGCCGCAAGGTGCCCCTTCAGGGCCTCTCTGTGGCAGCGAAGCGTGGCCCGCATCGGGGAGGCTTGGGCTCGCTGGGTCGCTGGCCAAAGTGCCCGCCGGTGGAGTCCCCGTTAGAGTTAAGTCGGGCGTGTCCCTCTACAGGGAGAATATTCAAAAATGGTCCCAAAATAGTGTGACGACGATTTGTTTCACTATTTTTGGCAATGTTTAAAATATGTCTTGACTATTTCTTAGTTTTTGTCCAAAATCCGCCTGCAGGGGGACATGCCCGACCTAACGTTAGAGGGGCGCTGACCGGCAGGAGTCAGGGGCAAGGATCATGGCCATGGGGGAAGCGGGTCCTGAGGGGAACGGGTCCTGGGTTTATTCTTCCGTTTTCGGGCCCTCGGGGCCGTCGGTGCTTTCCAGCAGCTGCGCCTCGCCGAAAGCGTTTGGGGGGTGCCCAGAATGTCCCGAAGGGGCGCCGGAGTGCCGAGCCATGAACCAGACACCCAGGGGCCCAGCTTGGGGGGGATGTAGCACGGGGTGCATCGACCCCGAGTCGCCCCAGGCGGGGCTGGGACGACGATAAATCCGTTCCAGAGCGCGCCGGAACGCTCTCAGAGCGCAGAGCGTTCCGGAACGCTCTGAGACCCATTCTGAGTCGTTTTTGGACGGCCCCGAGGCCCAGCGAGTGTCACCAGAGGCCGAAAATGGCGAAGCACCTTCCGTCGCGATTTCTTCGCGACTCGCGGGGGCCTGGGCTTCGTTTCAGAAAGGGGGGGAGAGAATGACCGCCGCCTTCTGGCACTCTCGGCCCCCGGCTTCGCCCAGGGTCGAGACGAGGAGGAGGAGGAGGAGGAGGAGGAGGAGGAGAACCAGCACTCAGGTTGGGGTGACAGTCTCTGTCTCTCTTAGCCGCCCACCTCATCCTCCTGCTCATCTGGCTGGGGGGGTGGGGCGGCCTCCTGGTCCAGCTCGTCTGACTGGCGCTGGAGGTAGGCGGAGAGCGGCATCGGCCGCTCGAAGCAGATAGGGGAGGAACGCGTCCCCTTTGGACGCCTCCCGCTTAGGAGGAGGTTCCATTTTGGGTGCGGTCCCCGTCCCTCTGACATCGCTGGCCACAGGTCGCCTCCAGGGCCCTCGGTTGGGACTCTGCGAATTTGCCACGTTTAGCACAAGCAGTAATGAAAGAGCCTCCTCTGTGGGCTTCAGAGCGCATCCGATACACGGCCCTGGCTTCTTGCTGGCCGCCCTGATGCGGCAGTCGATGCACAGAAATCTTGTCCCCGCCGCCTCCCACCAATGCTCCCGTCTCGCCTCCGTCTCTGTGCGAGGGCGCTGGGGTCGCGAAACAGCGGGGGGCGGGGGGGAGGGGACAGCACAGCTCCAAGTTTGCTGCGCCACCACTGCTCCAACTGGGGGCGACGTACGCTGGCTGGGCTTGCCTAGGGCTTTCTTGGTCCCGCTGGGTCCGACAGGAGGCCACTCCTGCAGGGCGCGGGCGACGAAATGCAGAAACTGACTGAGCAGGGTGCATTCGTTGGCGTGCGCTTCGACCTCTCGAGGGCAGGCGTGCGGAAGGACGGCGGGCAAGGCGGGTCGAAGCAGCATGGCAGAAGGGGCGACCCCCTGTCCTGCAACCAGTCCTCATCAATTGTCCCTCCTTCCCTCCCTCCCTCCCCTGCTCCTCCTCCCTCCTTTCTCCTCCTCCCTCCTTCTCCCTGCTCCTCCCTCCTCCCGCTCCTTCCGCTGCTGCTGCTGCTGGTCGTGCAACGGTGCACGAACGAACGAGGTTGATGGAGGGAGAGACAGCGAGATGGAGGCGGTCCCGTGCTATCCCTCCTCCTATTGTGTCCTTCCCCAAACACTCTTTGTTTGTCTAGCCTGGGCGTCGGCCCTGGAATTGATCAGGGACGTTGCGTCATCTGCCTACCCTTGGGCCTGCTACGAGGCATGCCAGTGCATGGGATCGGTTTCACCGTTTCCGGCCACCTCATAGAAATCCACAAAAGAGCAACATGAGCATACAAACGAAGGACTATGGAAGCCACCACACAGCGTGACCCACGAGGAGGCCTATCCTGCACAAGCCGAGAAAAATGTTTAGCGGTAGCACGCAGCTACTGGTGAAGACAGCTTACGCTAGGGAGGCAACTTCGAAGTCGTCGTGCAGCTCAATCTGCCAAACGCTGACACCCCAAAGCGTGAACTTGAGGACCGAATCCACAGTTCTGCTGCTGCTGGTGGAGACATGACTTTAAAGAAAAGGACGACGAGGAGGAGAGATGAGGAGCGAAGGAGCCCCTGCACCCTTGTCCCTGCCACCCGTATCCTTTCGGCGTCCTGGCTGACGGACTCGGGACCACCCATGTCAGCTTAGCCCCTCGCTGTGCCTGGACCGCGAACTGCGGCGGAACCCTGCAATAGATTTGGCAGATGGAAGCTCACGAGGATGCGACTTGCGAACGGAAAGCGTGTGACCAACATTCCGAGGATATGGCCTACACGGCATGCAAGCAATGTGATATGTAAGGCCAGTGTGCGTACAGCGCGCACGAGACCGACCGAGAGGTCAAATTTGGAGTAGCGTACATCAAATAGCACAGAGATTACATGGATTGCAGGATCATTCAGGGAGGAAAGAAACTCACTGAATCCTGATGCTGCTGCTGGTGCTGCTGCACCCTCCCTGCAAGTGTAAGCAGCAGCGAAAGAAAGAGCAACATCAACGGATAGTAAGTTTGCCCATTCACAGAGCTCAACGCTCAGACATCCTGTGGAGGCCAGGCACATCGCGACGAGGTCGCACAGGAGGCCCACTGGCATCCACACAAGCCAGAGCACGCGGAGAAGGCGACGCCATCGGCGGCACCATCGTATAATTGGATTCCGTCTCATCATGTTGAATCATTCGGCATCTTGAGCGTCTTGCCAGTGGCCACGTGCTTGACAAGTTGCATAATCTTCTCATCCTTGTTCTTACCCGTAGACTGCGAAAGTGGAGGGGTCTGTGCAGCCAATATCTCGTTCAGGATGGTCTGGGTCGTGCCTGGTGTGCGTGCCAAGCGCTGAATGGACTTCTTCGGGCCCTCAGGGAAATCATCGACCGCGGTGTCAGGAATCAGCTTTGCTGCCACCTTCACGCAGGCATCGTGGAGCTGCTGAGCTTCCGTCGCTTCTGCAGGCTCAGCTGGATTTGGGGATTTTCGCTTCTCTTTCTTGAGTTTCCCACTCGGGGGCACGGCAAACTGGGCGAGCAGGCCGCGAAGGAGCGTCGCAGTGTCTTCAGGGCCTGGTCCTTTAGATGAACTGGCCGAGGATGAACCGCCACGGGTGTCACGAATAGCTTGTATGATAGCGGCGAGATCGTCCTCAGCTGACGATTTCCCATGAGGCTGCTTCACACCATCGTTATTTGTGCTTCGATCTTCATTATGGAAGCCAACTGTCGGAGCATATAATTATCTGATGTTTTTTTTCTCTTCACGCGATTTCATCATAGTCATGAGCTGCCGCAAGATAGTATTATCATCATGCTTGCTCGCGTTGCCAGTATTCGTAATCATGGTGATCACCTTGAGTAAAGCAGAATTGGTGCAGAGGTCACGTTTGGAAAGGCCACGCGGGTCGTCATCACCACTGTCTGAATGTGGTTCAAAGTCATTTGATCTAAATAGTTTCTGCATGGCATGTAGCATCTCGATCATCGAACTGTCACGCGTTGTTTTGTTCCGTCTCCTTGCAGCCCTGCACCATCTATATTTA